AATTCTACTAGGTAAAATGGCTTGAAGTAATTCAAGCTGGTGACGTCGAGGTACTGGATACCTTATCACAGATAAAAGCTTAGTAGATCCAATGTTATGGACAACTCCCGATGTAATCGTTTACAATCGGCAATATATAACTTGTCCCAAGATTGTAGCGTTACTTAGGTACACTGAAAACACTGGTGACTAACATAGCTTCAATTGTGAGCCGTGTGATTGAGATAATACGGAGTGTCAAGGCTCAGTGATGGATTCAAGGGTTTAGCTCTGAAGTATTGCTGTTTGAGTAAACAAGTCAATACCGTCGCTTGCTGACTCTGAAATAACTCAAGTAATGGATTGAAATAGTCAACTTAGTTGTAATGAAATGATCGATTGCCATGTATTATGCTTGAAGTAATGCTTATACTTGATCTTGACAGGACTCCTGGGCGTCGCAATGACACAGAGGAGACACTTGTTTCAAATATGAAGCATTCGAGCACCAAATTAAATGATGTAATACTTCAAACCGGTAGTGGAAAGAAGATGGTTATAGTTGAGCTGTATTGACATGCCCGCAGGTTGCCCTGATGGTCTACACAGGAACAAAGACACCACAGATCCACAAATAAAAGCCCACGATGGACAACAAATTATCCCACGATATCTTATATTTACTGTTTTTGTTCAGGCATCTAACAAATGATCGTTGTTCGCCTATGCCTCTTTCACGGCAGCTCTGGTCTCATAGACCGGAACAAAGACAATGCCAATCCTCCCCCAGGCAGTTTTGTCGAGATCTATATGTTCGGCACCCTTTGAACTCGATTGTATGAACATCCATTGATGCCTTGGAAGTTCATTGTATGATCAACAATCAAGCATAATGTTCATCACCAAACTTCATATGACCATATAATGCGACATGCTGCAGATGAGTTGGTATTATCTCAAGCATTTTACTAACTACAACTCAACAACATAGTATTCCAGAACTCGTCCACACTAAACTTCGATGCTTTCGAGTCCGCACAACTTGCATCCAGATACTGAAACAATAATGGACATCTTGGATAAGCAACCCATCAGAATGTTTACCCTCAACTGCATTCCCCCCAAGGACCCCCCTCCTGGAACACCCGAGCCATGTATATGGCAATGTCGCAACTGCGGGCAGGACTACAGGATCTCCGTCACAAGCCGCTGTATCAAGTGTCCTTCATACAACAGTAGCCCCCCTTACAAGTACCTGTCAGGCAAAAGCTCAGACGGCGGACCTACCAGAACATATCAAGAGTCTCCCCTCTCATGCAACCATAGTCCAGATAGCAGATCTACTACAGAGGCTGAAACGTCTCCCACAAGCCGTAAATACTCAAAACGTCCATCCATAACGCTTTCTAACTACGACTACGAGTTCTGGAATCAATACAATGACTGGAAGCGCTTTCGCTTGGAGTATGAAGCGAGACCTGAGAGCTGGGAGAGCCGCATCAAGCGCAGCTTCGATGGCTTGGATAGTGCACAGCGTCGAGCGAAGCGATACAAATTCGAAGTCGAAGCACGCACTCATCTTACGGTGGAAAGTCTGGTGCGCATGCTTGAGAGGAAGCAAAATTGCGAAGTAGACTGTAACTTTCCCGGTCAGTGCCACACAGAGCGCTATGAAGCATTGAGGAAGAGACCCCCGAAGGCCACAGGAGGCACGTCCCACTCCACATACTATGACGAGGATGATGATGAAGAAGAAGAAGGTAAGCTGCCCCTTTGTGAGCTTTTACCGCAGTTCGATCAGGAGATGACAGATCCTGAAGACATTGATGATGACGAGGATGAGATATTTGTGGCATACAGGAGGGATGTTGATGCTTGGTATGCATCGACTCTGGCGAAGTCGAGTTAAAAGAAACAAGGAAGATGCTGAGGAGTGATGGATAGAAGAGAAATAATTGACGGCAAAGACTGGCCACAGGAGGGAAATAAAACGTATGATAATAAAGAATGGTGCCTAAACTGGTCTAAAGCTTTACTAAACTTACCTAAGTCTTTTCATTGCTTAGGATAAAGGTCCCAAGTCTTCTTGCCTGTCCTTGGCTGGCATGGAACAGCTATTCAGGGAAGATGAGATAATGAAAAGCATAGCAAAGATCGGGGATGCAATAGGGAACTGTTTTGAGTGAGCGGATCATAATAGATAAACATCATTTGAACGGGCGTGATAACTTCATTAATCCACATTCCTAACACAAACAGGTCATAACAAACCACACTCATTTTAACATTGAAGGTTCGATGACTAACCAGGAACTCGTATTTCCGTGTCTACCTAATCCAGTCCATCAGCACAGCGGTTCCGTGTCGCATCTCATACCAGACCAGACCAGACACCAAGGTGAAAACACAACTGTTGTACACAGCTCGCGCAACTCAAACAGCACAGGGCATTTCGTCATAACGTGAACCCTCTCGTCATCGGGCATCGGCTTCTGGAGCAGACCCGAGAGCTCGTCGTGTGCTTATTGAAAGCGCAGGCGCCCTCAGCTATCCAAGCTGTGGTCGTGCGGACGTCCGCTCATATCTCGACGCGACGCCCCCATCGAATTCGAATTCAAGCATTTCTGCATTACCATCCCATATACCGGTTTACCGCAAGTCCCAAAGAATAAAAGCAAAATAGAGCCTTAAACGATACGTCTTTAGCCTTCAAGTGCTTTGGCCTTCTTCTTCTGCTCGACCTTGAGCAGCAGAGCGCGGTTGATGTGTGGCAGGACACCACCGTAGGCGATTGTCGCACGGATCAGGGTGTCGAGCTCCTCGTCACCACGAATGGCAAGCTGGAGGTGGCGGGGTGTGATACGCTTCACCTTGAGATCCTTTGCAGCGTTCTGTGATGAAATGTTAGCGTTAATTTCAGGCAACAACAATGACTCATAAACTTACGCCTGCCAACTCGAGGACTTCGGCAGTCAGGTACTCCAGAACAGCTGTAACGTACACGGCAGCCTTGGCTCCCACACGCATCTTCTGCTGGGTGTTCTGCTTGAGGAAACGCTTGACACGACCGCAAGGGAACTGTGAAATACCATGTTAGTACGAGTTTAAATGAAACCAGCAATCCTTGATAGAAATGTTTCCCGAGCCGTCTTTGTTTGCGCATTCCGTCATGTCCCGTTTCAACCCAACGTGCATACAAACAACGTCGACAGCCGCCCCAGAATATCGGTGACCAGTTGCCGAACCGTCGCATCAGCTCAAACGCGCGGCGAGGGCCAAATACAGGGTGCGCTGTCAATTTGAAAAGATTTTCTGGTCGTGCGGAGATGGTCGACGCGTCGAGAACGGATCGTGAAACTTGAAATATGTGGGATGCGGGACATGGCATGTGCGCAAATCGGTCGACAAAGCAAGCCTATCCTCCTCTTCTACCTTTCAAGTTGAGACTCACCTGGAGACCAGCACGAGCAGAGTGGCTCTGCTGCTTCTTGGTGCCCTCAGCAGCGCTCGTCTTGCCGCCGGAGCTCTTTCCGCCAGAAGACTTTCCCTTTCCACCAGGCATTGTCGATATGATCGCGTAAAAAAAGTCGTAAGATAAAAGTATCAAAAATTTGGGGATGAATCAATACGGGTTCGAACGCGGTAGCCGATCGGTCGAAATGGCGATTGATGTTGTTGATGTGAAAAACGCGGGATCGAGAGTTCGTAGTGGCAGAAATTTAGCGGGCTGCGGTGCGGTGCTGATGTTGTTTCTTCAGGCAGGCTCTGGCCAAGGGCGAGCTTGCGTGAGATGCGGTGCGGGATTGGATGGTACAGAGGTACATGCCTCAGGTAGCGTCTGGCTTCCTTCTGGCTGCTGGAAGCTTAATTGCTCATTGCACTTGCCGATGAAGAGACGCTTCTCATTGGCTGAGTGACCCGAGATAAACCCGGCCATCAAGCTGGGCCAGCAAAGGCTGTGTGAGAAGAGGCACTTGGTTAGGTATCACCAAAACAGGGTTTATGGTGCTGCAAAGTCCTCAAAAAGGGTATATATAGATCAAAGAAAGGTGGCATGTTCAAGAAAGACTTCTTTCAAGCTCCTAGAGGTGTTGGCGGAGAAGCTGTGTTGATACTTACTTGGCTCATCTCATCTTTGTTTGCTGTCATGCTTGGAACGGGTTGCCGCATATTCACAGCTATGTCTCACCCGGAGATTGTTGAATGCCATAAAGATGATACAGCATGTACTGGCATGGCTGCTGGTACAGAAGCGGTATCTTTTCGGTTTCTGACAAGTCAGGGCATCTTGTTAGACACTTGATGAGATGTCGTTGTGTATTGAACAGTTGAAACTCAGGCTCGGTTTGGGGTTGATCATGTCCCGCTGTGGCTGAAGTGTGGCTGTTCTAGCCCCTGTTAGCCGAGCATTTACCTGACTTACAACCACCAAGCCGAGCAAATGCTTTATCTTCCTTGCCCAAGGTACCTACCTACCTTATGTAAGTCTGATATTTGGAAACAAGTTTACATGACCTTTGAATGGATCTATCAGCCGATCTTGTAGTACAATATTACCTGCTCAGATATGTTTCTCCCGTGGTGGTGTGCATGGAATATCTCAATCTTAGCAAGCCATCTTATCAAGTCTTTCACACCTGTCGAAGGCCTCAACTCAAGTGTTTTTGCACTTTCGGCTTTGGCCAAACACTTTCCTATCTTGCCTATCCACGTAGCCAGCCGTCACCGAGACAGTTATCCAAGGCACTTCCATCCCAGCCACTGTGTTCTACTCTCTTGTTTGTTTCATGTTGCAATGTTTGCCGTTAACACTGCACTGCAGCCCAGGGCCGCCACTATGAATGTGCCTTCCACATTTAAGAGAGGGAAGAGGATGGCCTTCCTTCTTCCATAATATTTCCACCTCTTCCAAAAACAAAAAAGCACTTCGCGCCCAACTTTATCTTAACTCCTGCTTGCGACCGTTTTCAATGCAGATCGCCAAGCCCCCAATTCACTCTTTAATCCCTTGCATGTTCAGCATGGCCACTGCTACAAGGATTCACCACTTACCACCAGAGACCCTCGACAATGTCATGTCGTTTCTCCCACCAGCTGATGTAAAGAATCTGCGACTCGTCGACCACAGGTTTTCGCCATTGGCCACACGACGGCTATTTCGCCGCACTCGATTACTGGCCCGAGCAAAAGACAACAATGACCCTCAACGCTTCATACAGCTCGCCAATTCTGAGTTGAGTGGACTTGTCCGCGAAGTCAGCTGTGATGTTTCCAGCATAGTATATAATGGATTTTACTATTTTGAGAAAGACCAGTTCGAGCTCCTTCCTGTCTTCTGGGATGCATTGCCCCTTCTAGCTCGCTTTCGAAACATTCAGACTCTGCATCTGTGTTTTGATGCCAGCTTCGCATTGCAGGATTTCAAAGCAGGTTCCAGCCAGTTCAGAAGTAGGGTTTTGAAAACTGTTTTTCGCATTTTGACGGGAACATTCACTAAGGAAGTGCCAAAACCCATCGACACACTTTCCAGTGCCTCAATCGAGAGCTCACCCTCTGACACCCCGTCATCTCCGATTACTCTATCTACTCTCATAATTTCCAGCTTGGGAGATTACCATGATCCAGAACTCACGAATATGCCCGAATTCAAAACAGCCATGGGAAACATCAAGGCCTTGAGGCTTGATATAGCGCAGCACAAAGCCAGGTGGGGAGAATGGGCATTCACAGAGACAACTGCGATCCCAAATCAATGCCAGGAGATGTTCACTCAGCTACCTCTCACTTGGCATTCCTCGAGGGTCGCTGCCAACCTACAGGTCCTCTCGCTACATTACCAGTCATATTGGGGCTGGTTCCCCAACATTGATATACGCCTTATTGGCGGAGAAAACGGAATGCCCAAGCTCAGAAGCCTTTCATTGGGGCACTTCGTCTTCAGTCATCAGCGTGAGGTCGACTGGATAACTTCTTTAGATCTTGAAGAGCTTTTTCTCGCAGGTTGTGCCGTCCTATCCAAACACATTGGTCATCCGAGCACACAGAAGGGCTTCTGGACTGATGGCCGCGATATCTTTTCAACGGCCAAGATTGTGGGAGAGGCGGAGAGTACTTGTTTGTTGTGGCATGAGATCATTTGGCAAATTCGCACCTCTATGCTAAACCTGAAACGATTTTGCATCGTCGGCCAGCCAGATCGTATTTACCACTATCGAAAATTTTGTGAAATCAAAGGCCTTAGCAATTCCGAGCTTTCCTCTGACGAGGGATTGAGTCACGAATCAAGCCTCTGGCAACAATTTATAGGCCTCAGCAAAAAGCACCGCGAAACGGCGTTTCAGCACTTTACATGTGCCACCTCGCCCAAGTTGTGCCTCGAATCAGACGCTTTTCTTTGCTCCCGTTCCGGTCCTTCTACGAGTTTTATTAGGAATTCCTCCGGCTACAATTATGTTTCTCACGATCCCACATACACGGAACAGGCCTTGTATAATCAGGATGCCAGTTACTCCAAAGTTGGCCAAATAATCAATAACATGGAAAGATTGGCGACGATCGAGGTTACCATCCTACATTCTATGTCGTCCAAAAAAAGCAAAATGCAGCATATGGGCGCTGAAAAGCTGAGACTAGCCCCGAAGATGAGAACTCATGACACAAATGAATACATGACAAGCGTACTACGCCCTCTGCTTACATCTCCTGAGCTATCTCTCTTCAAGGCGACATTATTACTTTCAGATTTTCGTCCGCAGTACGCTCCTTTGGCAGACACTCACACGCGAAGACCATTATAGGCCCAGTTAGAAGCCAGTTAAGGGAAATCGCATGTCGTTGGTTCGTCCTATCACTGGCCTGTTTTCAGTTATGATCGGAATGGGCATGCGCAAGCCAGGGCGTGGATGAAGACAAAATTCAGGGGGGGAGACCAGTCAAGAGACATGTCTGATACCTCTGATATAGGATTATATCAGTCGAGTATGGTATTTCGATTATATCCAATGTACCACTCACTCCTTGGGTTTGCACTCCAGTGAAGATTGTCATGAAAACGTCAAAGCTTGGTTTTGTTGGGTAGGGGATATCTTTAAAGTATTTGGGACATATGCGTGCCAGAGAGAGTCATGTTGAAGGTCTACGCCAACTTATTTCTGTGAATTTGCACATAATGTTGGCAGCAAAACTCGAAGCAGAACGCTAATACCAAAGACAATTCGCATTTGCCTGCTGCGTCGCGTCTCTTGAACAGTATGAAGCAATTAAAAACAACACCCAGTCAAGCCCAAAGCGGCTGTTATTGATCAGCATGTTTAAGCCCACGAGGGGATTTTGTGGTTCTAGTCCATAGACTGTAAACGAAATTATGGGAGTGAGAGTGTAGTGAAAGAGATAGGAGGGAAATGTAAGCAAGAGACTTGAACACTGCCGCATTGCACTCTAGAGAAAATAAATATCCCAGGAAAGTCTCGCCAAGGGAATATTGATTTTGATAATATTTTACAGCTAGTAGTACTGAACTTGACCATCTATCCCGCTACGAGGGCCAAATAGTGTCTGTCACCGGGAAGCCGGAGATTTCTACCGATGAGGCAGCCCAATTCCTCGAGAAAGGATGAAGATCCGACTCCTGAATTATTCAAGGCATTGCATTGTATTCAGAAGCGGTCTCCTGTCTCGAATCTGAAATTTCCAGACTCTCGTGATTGGACCGGTGTCAACTGGGTCGGAACACACAGCGCCTCTTGAAGAGCAGATGATATATTACATATTGAAATAAAGACCCAGCGAGCATTTTCTCATTCCAATGAACAGTTCTTCCGGTAAATTGCATAATTTCTCCCAAGTTACCCGTCCTGGGATGTGTGTCCATTCAACCTATGTATCAAGAAATTGCCAGTCCCAACCCCTCATCAGCTGGTTGTCGAAGAAAGACCGAAGACTAGGGATGGAGGATGAAGAAGGGGAATCAAGGAGGGAAACAGAGAAAGAAGAATGAAAGTTTCTCATATCATAATCCCGAGACCGGGGCTTTTTGTACATCTATGTTTCGCTGGAAATAGAGGATTTGGCGATAATATCGTGCCAGAACATCATGGAGGTTGTTGACGCTGTCTATGGCCATTTAAGGTCATTTAATACCTTAAAGAATAAGACTATTGGGAAGCCTGTAAAGGATTATTTAAGATTTGTTCTGCTTTGACTAAAAGAATGTAAGTTTTAGTAGGAGGTGATTTAATTACTGTAAGAGCTAAGTTCCTAGATATCAGAATCTATCACCCTTGATAGTAATACTCAAATACCTATTGCCGATTTTATCCTATATCTTAAGAATTTAGATAAATAAATGATACCTTGTTTCTTTTCTGTGTGACTTAGGGTATATACTTGGCTCCTGGGGCTGGTTTTCGGCCTAGCATCTAGTCTTTATAAGATCCCATTCAGGATCCCATAGGCATTTAAGCACTTGACACAATTGGTGAACCTAATAATTGGCTCGTAGCTAAAGCATCGCCAATCTCTTGGTCCGTTTAAAGTAAAAATTATTTCAATGTCCATTCGAATCTCATTAAATGAACGAAGTCATTAGGTGAGAGCGAAAATGAAGACAGCGGCGTGGAGATGGTAGGTAATTTATACAAACAGTTCAAACATCACACCCTGAACCGCTAGTATCTTATCTAACGCTTCCAACCACACAAGTGATCAATTTAGGTACAATGAGAAGCTTCAAATGATTAAAGAAAGAAAGATGGATGGTGAAGTTGAAGTCAAAGCAATTGATGGGCGACATGTAGATTTAGGAAGCAAGAAAGCTTCAGATGCTCAGCTCAGATGCCAAAAATAGCTATCATACCAAGTCTCTACTAGGCTTACCTGAAGTTACCCTAAGCCTTTTTGTCATTTAATAAAGAGGTCCTAAGTAGTTTTTGTTTACCCTTGGCAACGTCGCTTCAATGAGATCCGGGAATAGCTCCGTAGTATCAGCGAAAAGAGGCGAGTTGAGAGCTGAGTGTGAGTGGTCAGTGGTGAGTAGGCGAGTCGAGCTGCATGCTGCAGCTGCAGCCGTAGCTGCGGGCAAGAGGCGAGGGCGGAGGCCTGCATATTGGATGCCGATAGAATGGCACTTTGGGAATGATTTCCACGGTACTGTAGATCTAGCGTCAGATCCTGTGTCGCGTTGGTGCCTGACCTTGCCTCCTCTCCCATTCACTAAGACTTAGTCGACCTCTCCTCTGGTTTTGGATGAGGCAGTGGCAAGTGTCATTGTGGCGATATCATGGAAGAAAGCCGTGAGGCTCATCTCATGGCGAAAAGGGAAATGGGGCGTTGCAGCGGCTGACGCCGATCCCCCACTAGGCTTGAATGATGAAACATTCACTTCTGGTTGGTAACTGTAAACATGGGATCAAGACATCAATCAATCCTGAACCTGCTGGAGGTCTCGGGGCGTGAGACATCACAACCTCGTAACTGGGCCAACTTGCAATCTGTGGGTGTAGCCAAAGACGTCTCATGACCGTATTTACTCTTGTGCATCATGTTTCAACGAGACACGTGCTCTTGCAAAGTGGTGGGCAACAAAAAGGTTGGACGGCCAAAATCATGACTTCAAAACAGGGTAGACAAGAATCAAGCTTCATCTACAAGAATATTGCACATCTTATGCCACATGGATATCATATATGCTTAGATCGGTTCACAAAGGATGCCGCCGCGTGTTTGCGCGGACAGACCAACAGAAAACAGACCCGGGGAGAAGATCCGTCTGCCGGAGCTTCTAGAGCATTTTCACGAGGGTTCGTTCATCTTAAAACAAGAGAGTTCAGGGGTGTCGACTGTCGGCCGCGTGATCTATGAGCCGCCATCTCCGGGGGAATGGACAACCGAGCGACGGCGAGATGAGGCTAAGCTGGGATGCCTTGAGAAGAAAAGACCCCTCTGTTTTTTTGTGTAGGGGACAGCGGCGAGGCGAAATAGGATGCGCTAGTGAGGCTTCTCGAATTTGACAGGCGAGCAAAAGAGAAAGGAGATGAGGGGCCAAGCAATGAATACCGTCTGTAGTGACATGCTTTGTTGACCAGTCGTTGCTAGAAGATGAGGTAGGTCTGCGACATACACGAGCTTCATTTGAAGTGTGATCCACCCAAGTTCGATATAAACGATACGACAGACCAATACAGAAGGCAAACTCAACTTGAAAAAGGTCTGAGAACAAGCTCGTCCTCTTACTCTTCGTAAGAGACGCAGCCCCTCCAGCTAATCAACGCTCAATTTCCAGGGACCCGGGTCCCCTCGCTCGTCTCTCCTGTACCGTACCAGGGCTTACGGACATGGGACACGAACGACGACCCAAAGACTGGGGAGTCCCCTGAGATCAGGCTGGGCCCCTGATACCGGCCCAGGTGGGCGGGTTAGGATGACCCTGGCTTCGTCATGGGCATTGGGAACGAACAAAGAGGGGCAGAGTTTTGGAAAAAAGGAAGAAGCACTGTAGAAGTAAAAGGGGGTTCAGGAAATATTATCACCTCTTTTCAGTTTGTTCATCGTGAAAAGAATGGGCTTGTGTCTTGTGTCTTGCGGCGCAATGACGTGTATAAAATGGGAATTTGTGAGGATTGGTGTCCCCCAGGTGATGCATGTTTTCTTTTTCCTCTTCTTGTTTTTGTCGAAAAGTTTATTATTCATTAGAAAGTCTTACATGCTTTTTGTACTCCACCACTTGATTGGCTTCCCGTCCGACGGGCCGCTCGCATGTACTGCCATAGACGAAAGAGATAGAGAGTCCTACTAAGGTACTAAGTTAATGTGAAAGTCAAAACAAGCAGTTTGGTCTGCAGTAGAGATAAATCAGGTGCTGTTATGCATACGCTCGGATAAAAGGTAAAAAGTTATGGACATTTGATGGCCAAAGTGTCTGTCAACAAACAAGCGGTAGGCGATAGCGCGTACTAATGAAAAAAGCAGGGCAGCAGGCTGCAGACAGACAGGGTCAAGAAAAGAGCCGCAGCAGCATCATTGCACGTGGCTTTGACGATGAAGAAAACCCTAGAATAGAGTAGTCGAATTTCCGCATGAACATGCCATTCTAATTGAGGCATCTCAAATCTCCCTTGGCAACCCCTGGAACCACGGTGCAAGTCGAGAGAGGGAGTGAGAGAGACATGCCATGTCACCTCGTCGTCGTCTCTTTTGTCTTGTCTAGTGTGACGGAGAGTGCTTGACTGTGTGAGGGAGGTGATTACGCTGCATGAGCTAGGTAGCTAACGTTAGCATCATCCGGGGAGCTTCACTGAGCAAGCCGGCCGGGTGTGTCATAAAGGGGAGCTAAAGATACGATGCGAGATGGAGGATGGAGCAGAATCATTACAAGATGAGACGCCAGTTAGATACGATACAGCCAAGATTTTCCGCCCGTAATGACTATCGATCTGCGGGACTGTCCTGTCTCGTCTCTGTGAGTGTTACAGTTGGATGCCTCACTGACAATGACAATCTCCTCTTGACTCTTTTCTCACACCCATTGCATCCCCTATTTCCCTTGGGTAATGAAAGTATTGGAACAGTGCTACCCAACAAGCTGAAAGGACCAGAGGTTGTGCTTCATAGCCTACCTTATCCGTACATTATATCCTAGGTATCCTATTCTATGCTGAACTGTGACCCCAACTGAGTCACTTGCAGGTTCATGCATCACATCGAGTCAGGTCTTGACTGAGAGTCATTTGCTTGCTACCCAACTGAACTGGTAAAATAATGCGACACGCAGGCTTGAGCTGTAACCTATACGTGCAGTAGT